ATGGGCATAAATGCAGCCCTCGCTACTACGGAAGAAAAACGGTATAACGTGCCGGTACTTGCGGTATCGCGTCCACTTTTATCGGAGAGAAAAAGCTTCCATTTTCCACTACGAATTAACGCGATTTGATTAAATTCGGTGAATTCACTCGAAAATAGCGATAGGGAAAACGGCTTTTCTGCAGGTTCTGGGCGTCACAATCAGCTGGCCATTCTAAAAATGGATTGGTGTTTTGAAAGAAAATTGTTTTAAGATTTAATTTTATTTGAATAGATAAAGATATTTAATTTTAAAATAATAATTCAACCAAAATAGGAAAAACCATTAACAAATAATAAAAATAATGACATTTTCAAACCACGGTGCTGCTTGCATTTTTTGGCGCGTCTGTTTCAATCCGCCATATTTGCCAATCACTGATTGACCTTGCATTGTAACTCTGCGATTTAGAGCCGCCAGTGCATTGTGCACCGAGTGAATGTAGACCTTGTGGGGTTAAAAAACATTCTTATGCCTTATTTTTTTTTCATTTGAATGCTAGGATGCATGGAAAAGATGAAGTTGTCTGATTTTATGACCATATATGGTCATCGCCCCGCCCACTCCAGCCGTTGATTGGCTGATCCAATTTTTGTTTGGCTCCTCGTAGTTTTCCCCAGGTGGGTGACAGCACATGATCGCCTGAGGCGGTGGGGGGTAAAAATATTTTCGTCATTTAATGCTCAATGCATTCGCTGCGACTTTTTACAAGACCCTCTTCTCGTCGTTGTTCCTTGCTTTCAACGACTGGTCCCCGAGTGATGACTATCCTCACGCAATATAGGATGAATGGAGCTAGCAATTAAGCCCAAAAAACATATCGAAAATGTTACAAAACACTTCTTTTGAAGGAGATGAATTGAATGGTTTTGGAGCCTCACAAAACATGTTTCAGATATGACGCGTAAAACAAACTGACGCATAAAGACTGTGTTCAAAAATGTGAGCGGCAGCTCCGCAAGCACTTGTTGACAAATGAAAATCGTAGGTACTGCTCGGTCGCCATAGCAACAAGTAAGCGTCACAAATTTCGAACACTATCTGAGTGCGCCAGGTTCGACTACATCGAGGACGCTGGGTGATGGTTGCCAGCTGATTAAATTAATGAAACGCGAATCAATTCATTTTTGTTTGAGATTGCGAGTAAAATATGTTTGTTAATTTCAAATATCATTGAACTAGTTTTTGTATATAAAATAACTACAAACACCTCTGTGCAAGGAATAAATCAAGGCTTATGAAAATCGTGAGTAGGGTTGGGAAAAGCAGAAAAAGGATCACGTGACTGGCGTCTCAACCTGATCTGTAAGAATCTTGGTTTTCCCAACTGATATTCGCTATCTAGCTAAGTAGTCCTATATTTGAAGTTCTCTCCTTTTATAAGCCGGATAGTGAACGGCGACAAAAAAAAAACGTTCAGCCGTCTTCTTTTTAAAAGCCCTATTTGATTGTCAGGCTGACCCCGTGTGCCTCCCGTGGTGGGCCTCCCGGGTCTTGTCAGGCTGGTCAAGGCGAGCGATACCAGCATGACCTTTGGTCAGCCTCCACCTGTTTCGACCCAGTTGTCAGCCACTGGTGCCTGCGTCATATAGCAGTTTTCCTCCTACCGCCGGCGTAGAATCGTGCTACAGCGTACTTTTTATGATACAGGTCATGACCTCACCGCTGGGGTCCTCAAACTGAATGGAAAAGTTCGCCGAGCCGCCGCAGCCCATGACGCGATACTTTCAAGAGAGACTATACACCCAGACAGACAGACTGGTAAAGCCACAGTCAGACTGGTACAGCCAAACAGTCAGACTGGTACACCCAGACAGTCAGACTGGTACAGCCAAACAGTCAGACTGGTACACCCAGACAGTCAGACTGGTACAGCCAAACAGTCAGACTGGTACACCCAGACAGTCAGACTGGTACAGCCAAACAGTCAGACTGGTACACCCAGACAGTCAGACTGGTACAGCCAAACAGTCAGTGTTTTTACATACGAAAATGTGACATAATTTTTTTCACACAGTTAAGAGGCTACAGTAAAAATTACAGACGTCCAATAGAATTTGCTTAAGAAATCAGAAAGACAACATTCTACTTTTAATAACCATGTAAAGATTGATAAAACACACAAAGAAAAACGATAAATAATCTATATCACAAACGCCAATGGAAATGAAATAAGTCATCTATGCCCTACCCATGAATCCCCTAACTCATAAAAAGGAAACTCAAATGTGTCAAAATAAACAGGTCTTACCTTCAGTTTGTTTTTAATGCATTTTAACTTGGCAACAGCTGCAACCAACTCATTTTCTTCATCTTGCAGTTTTTTCAACTGAACACTTGCGTCCAATTTGTTCTTTGAAGCATCCATGGCTAAGTTGTGTCTAACCTGGCCAGGCTGTCAGTACCGAAACCATGAGCACAAACTTTTCGTTATTTATATCTGGATATGTTATGTAGATGCCTGTTGAAATGTAAACACTTCAATCATTCATTCAATAATTCAATCAATCATAATATACGGGGCATTTCATGCATAGGCGTAGGAACAGGGGGGCCGGGGAGCCATGCCCTCCCCTCACTCTTGGTACTGGGGAGGCAGAAATGTTAGCGCCCCCCCCCCCCCCACACACACACACTTTTTGATGAGCTTTTGCGCCTGTCGGCTGTCAGTATCAGTCGGCGCCCTGAACAGTGAACACCAAAACTTGACGATTCTTCAGCTTGCCCTTCGAAATTCAATGAAAATATCCTTTTGTATCTGCAGCGTTAGGTGATGGGCGCAAATTCCCTTCACTCATCATTGCATAAGAAACCATATCAGAAGCAAAAAGTGGGAGGCCTGGTGGCAGCATTTCGTTGAATGCAAGGCGAGGCGTATGCGAGCGCAGAAGGTTGACGATACTGGCCAGAACCTCGACGGACGTGCCGTCGAGCACCTGTCGAGTGTCGAGTGACGCGTTGAATGATCCATTTGTTTATTTGTTTATTATCACCAAGTCACCCACAGGCACAAAGAGCCCACTTACGGATGCAGTCACATAGCTACTGTAATAATTTGACCTTAGGTCAAGCTCATGCCCTGACCGAAAAAAAGTCATGATTTGCCGCACATAAATAAATCTGTTTTGTTGAGCTGAACGTGAGCGCATTACAATTTGCAGGTGCTTCAATCACTCTAATATGTCTCCACCAAAAGTTATTGTCAAAAACTTCCAATGAACTTTAGCGACTTTTCTGGTGACCTCTACAGTCTACAGGCTCCTGCACAGACTGTTAGGGCCATGCTAGTCACTGGAGAGCCACGCTTGTCAGTGGCCATACGCCGGTCTCTAAGAGCTCCAAGTGGTCGATCTCTGAGGATCGATCCAACGCAGCCTTTGGAGGCCCCACGTCGTCGGTCCCCGTGGATCTTAACCCGGCAGGCGGTGGGCCTCCCGGCCACCTACCGCGCGGTGGGCCTCCCGGCCACCTTCCGCGCGGTGGGCCTCCCGGCCACCTTCCGCGCAGTGGGCCTCCCGGCCACCTTCCGCGCAGTGGGCCTCCCGGCCACCTTCCGCGCGGTGGGCCTCCCGGCAGGCGGTGGGCCTCCCGACCACCTTCCGCGCGGTGGGGGGGGGGGCATTTTTTGCCCCCGCCCGTATCTCCGAAACTACTGGACGGATCCGGAAAATTCAATCGGCGTTCGATAGCCCTGTCAACTTTGTCGACGGAAACCAAATTTCATTGACCTCGGGGTCACCGATGACGTCACAGGTCAGGCCAAAGATAAAATGTTTCACCGTTCACGGGTCTTCTAGGGAAAGCGCTATAACACCAAGTAAAACGCATCTTGTCGAAAATCAGCGACTGGACGTCAGTTGTCTAGTACATATGTTGCTATTAGAGGTCACTGGTCATACCAGGTCAGGTCACAGGTCAGGTCACCAAGGGTCACCACATGAACCCAACTTTACTAAGGTTGTGCGATGCATGTTTTATGGCCAATTTTTCATTTCCAACTCAATGGTGTTGGTTATAAGACCACCAGGTACGGTTTAGGTCACTTTCTGGTGGAGGTCAGGGCAAGGTCAGGTCAAAAAAGGTCAAATTTCAAAGTTGATAGTTTTGCATAAACTGGGTATTGATTCGATGCAGCTCGTCACGGGGAGTCTAATGGTGGTCTTTGTTTTGTGCTACCAGTAGCGTCGCCACGGGGGGGCAAGCGGGGCAGCTTGCCCCCCCCCCAACCTCGGACCGGGCACCCCCTGAGATCGATACAGATCCGATAAGATTTTGGAGTCGGGGAAAAATGGGGGTACCTTTCTGAGAATGCCTGTGAGGTCAGACTGTTGGAGCGTGCAGTTCAAACCAAAGTCAGAGTCGCAGTCGCCAAAATCTGCAAGACTCCGACTCCAGACTCGGAATGTCAATGCCATGATTCATGTCATGTTCCTAGTTGGTTCTTTATTACATTTTCTAGCTGATTTTCATAAATTTTGGAGTGCTGACACATAATTTTCGTTCAAAGCGTGACACGAAATCTTCGGGGCCTTTCTCAACTCTCGTCAAATGTCTGCGACAGGCACAAGCACCGTTCAAGTGCCGCAGGGCTATGAGCCTGCTTTTCACACAGGCTCCTAAGGAGCTCCACTGAGCTCTAAGAAGCTTTCGGAGGGCCCAAACCGGCCTCTGAGAGTCCCACTGGTGTCCATGTTCTCTAGAGGGCCCATACTGATACAGGGATCTTTGAGGACATTATACATACGTAGACCTCTGAAGGGCCACACGAATCTTTGAGGATGCCTTCGAAAATTTCTGAACACCTCAACTGGCCTATGATAGTTCAGCCGAACTTTTGAGGCGACAGACTTTACTAACCGCAACCCGGCATCTGAGGGGTCACAACTCACGTGTCCCTCTGAGGGCCGCAACACATGTTTCTTATGTCCCTACCAACGTAGGGTCCTTAAGGATTCGACACAGACCCCTACGGTTCACACTGTTATTCGAGGGCTCCAGGCTCACCCTGGGCCTAGTCTCTTAGCGCCCGCCGCCCACACTGGCTTCTGAAAGCTTGTGTGCCCTAAATGGCTTTCCGAGCCCACCTTAGGCTCGGAAAGCCCTAAAGCACCACATACACGTAAATATTTGGGGTGACCCACGCCGATCTCCGGGATCCTAAGCAGGCTTCTGAGACTCCACACTGACCCTGAGTGGCCTGAAATGGCCTGGAAGTCGCAATCCTATCTCTAAGGGATCCCTTGCCGCTATGCCGTGCGTAACTTTTGGTTCCGTTAAATATTTTTGGTCGCGTTTGCAGCGCTTCCCTTCACTCGAAAAACCAGAAAATTTTTGTTCACACTCGAGTGAACAAAACATTTCTTCTCACTGCAGCAAGGATGAATGATGTACTTCCGATTCACACTTCCGACATTCTCTCTCAGTCTCCGCCGAATGCCCAATTCTTAGCTACAATCGGCGGCTGGGATAAGCCCTATGCATTTCACGTAAAACCTCGGCATGCATGCGTGAATGGAGGTTTTAGCGAGGTGATCCGATTCAAATGGAGCGTTTTTCACCTTCTTCTGGGTAATGATCATGAGCGACGAGAGTCTGCACGGGGGCCCTCTGCAGTGCGTCGGCAATCGCAGCCACTGTGATTCTAACGGTCGTTTTTGTCCAGAAATTTCAAAATATTGCTGTTGTTTTTTTTTTGTAAAAAAAAATACATGCTATAGCTAAAAGGAAAGCTTTGTTTTGTCACCATCGGATTTTTCGCACCATTGCGCGTCGAATGATATGTAAAACGAGTGAGTAACGGCTGGGGAAAGGCAAGATTTAACACAAAACTTGATTTTGCCCCCCCAACCGAAAATGTCTGGCGACGCCTATGTGTGCTACGACTTACGAGGTCTAGAATTGCTAAAAATTGAGTTTGAAAATTTGACGTCATCAATTGTTAACACTTTTTTCGCTATAACTTGGCCAAAAAAAAGAGGTATTCATCTCAAATTTGGTATGTAGATAGAAGGCGGTAGGGACTATCACATATATTCCGTTTTTTTTTTTAATTCTAAAAACTTTTTGGATTTTACGGCTATTATATTTATTTTTATTTTTGGGGGTCAAAATCCAAAAATCTCAAAAATCCGAGATAGCAGTTTTGTAGCCCTTCTAATTCTACACCTTCTACGTCGAAACATTTTTCTGTATTTCTAAAGCTGTAGGCCTGACAGCTCTTCCCGCGAAACTTTTTTTGGGTCGAAAATGGCAGAAATGACGTCACTCTGACGTCATTAGCGGCCAACCTATCATAGTCCTCGGAAAAATTTTGGGTCACAATGTGTAATAGCTATTCACGGGAGGGTACTGAGAGTTTGGTGACGATCGGCGCAGCGGTTCTGGAGATATATCGAAAAAACCAAAGGGGGGGGGGCAAAAATGTTCCCCCCCCACCGCCTAGAAGGTTCCCTGAGAACACAAGATGGTCCATGTTAAGGTTCAGCATACGTCTAATTTGCGGCATTGTTTTGCGCCCGTAGTTTAAAAACCGTCAAGTCACCGAATTGTAGACGGCCAGAATAGACTGGCCGACCGTTCATGCGTGTGTCGGGGGGGACGGTGACTGGCGGTGCGTTAGTGCCTGGGTGCCACGTAGGTACGGTTCTCCAGTAAAAGTCTTGTTGGTTTTGCTTTTTCGGACATATCTGGTCCTATATAATGCTCAAATGCATAAGTATCAACCCGAATTATGTGCATGCACATTTACCACGAGACTGTGAAATTGCATCGTTGTATGCCAAATACTTTCCGAGATATTCACCAAAAACCTCATTTTCTGCCGTTTGGGGTATTCTGGCCGCAATCTTCCTGGGATCGCCTATGACATCAGTAGAGCCATCTAACGAGAGGAACGCGGAAACACAGAATCATGAATGAATCGAGCGCGTAGTAAACGGTGTATGAAAGGGAGACTCGGCAGAGGCTATCCGGGTGGTCGGCGCGCGGCGCGCCCTTAGGCATCGGCCGACCCTTCGGACCGCGTGGGGTCAGAGGTCGCGCTCGGGAAGTCTCGGCTCTGGGTTTTAGCGCTGTGCAGTCAGGAAGGGAGGATAGGATAGCGCTAGCCCGACTGACTAGTGACTAGTATCTCGGCTGATTCGTGTGGGGTGGAAGGGGGCACAGAACGGGATGGTGGCTAGTGGTGGATGATGGGATGGTGGTTAGGTTAGTGCGTACTGCGTAGAACGTAGCTGAACATGCATTGTTTTTTTCATGGCAAACAACATGCAGCATAATGTGCGGGATTATGCCAGAACTCATACAAAAGGGAAATAATATTTCGGCCGAGGGAGTGGATGAGTGCCATGACAAAGCATGACGATGCTGCCAAAATCGGGATGCTTTTTTGCCCCCATTTTTACCCCTAACATGCAGAGCTTGATCCGAACTTAGAGGTCCCCGACTGACCTTAGACCTTAA